CGCTTCTTGTTTCAGATCTCCGAATCATGTGCGTTAGTTATAATACTTATCTGAGTACTATGTTATGCTTATTAGTTATCAAACTATGAGAGATTTTGTTATAAGAAATTCCAATACTTCACTTTTTTTTAGACTGTGCCAAATATTGTATCGCTTTATGAGTTACAAAAAAAAAATCGAGACCGGTGTACTACTTTTATATCTTCTTCATTTTGGATGGGCTATTTGAAATGGATTTAATTTTGATTAAAGCTCTATCAGTCAGTGAATTTCGTGTAGTGATCTGTAAAGGGAAAAAAGTAGGACTACCTCATCTTTACTCAGATTGCATTTCTGTCAAATACAGCACAGTTCATTTGTTCATGTGGATGTTTGTTTCTGTATTAGACAGTATGTAACTCAAGAACAGTGTCATGAAATGGTGTTGGTCGAAGATAACGGTAAAGTATCGAGGGAAATAGGGACGGAACGGTGGAGGAAGAAGGATCGGGTGGGAACGTTTTCTCAATAGTCTGACTTGGTATGTTCAAATTTCACTTTTTTCAGACAATGCCAGATGTTGTATCGTTTCATGAGTCACAAAAAAGTTTCCCGCTGTGCTACATTGTACGCTTTAGTACAGTAGAAAGATATAAATCCCTCACTTCATATTACAATCAATCACATATCCATCGACACCTACGTAGTACTAAACATTAGACAAAATGAACTACGATGTAGTTGACAGAAATGCAATATCGATAAGGTTGTGGGTGTTCCTTATTTTGCCATACAAAACTCATAAAATATTGGTATCAAAGCTGTAATTAAATCCATTAGGCAAAATTATATCTATTCTAAGTATATCTCATCGAATAACAAAAAATGGAGAAATATGAAATGATCAGTTGTTTTATATTTGGCAGGAAGACTGCAAATGAGCAAGTGTACAATGATAATTTTCTTTTTGTAACATTTCTTATTCCAGTATTCTTCAGTTTCCCTTGTTTCCCCTCCTTTCGTTTTCCACTGTTTTACAGTTACCGTTAGTTTTTTCATTAAGCCACATATGTTGGTTAAGGATAAGAAGTATTCGAATAAAAAAGTGTTTTCAGGCAATAAGTTCTCTTTTCCAATTTGTTTTTCAGTGTGATGAAATGGAAAGATACTTTAGTGTAACAAGGTGGACTATATCACTTCTTATTTCAATGAAACGGGGAGCTGTGTTTGCACTTACAAATTTCAATGTTTTTATATGAGCAATATGGGTCGATGGTGCTACATATATGGAAGTTTCTTTTCGCTCTAGTTTGAAAACCATATGCATAGCCTACTTCCGGTTTCAAACAAAAACATAAGATGTAACATATCAAATTCAAAAGAATCGGGTGATATCGATGTAGAAAACTCAGTTTTGTAACTGCCTATTATGGTTTATTTGATATCTTTACATTTTTGCCTTTCGTATTTTATATTTCTTGGTGTACTCATTGCGGTATCTCGTATTTTCTGCTTTTTTGCAGATCACTTTTTTTCGTTTTGAATTTTCGGTTTTGCTTTTTATTGTTGTGATTTTCTTTAAAACTTCATTGGTGATTGCAAGGATGGAGCTTTTCACGTCAATTGTGGACTGCTTTTCATCTTTATCTTACTTTTTCATTTCTATTAGTGTTCCGTTATCGTATTGTACCTTTTTTTTTTTTTATTTTGAGTAAAGGAATCCATATCGATCAGAATTTTTATATTTTTCCTAGTTTTTATATGTGTTCATTAGGTCTGGTAGTCGGAAGGAATAAGTAAGAAACTGGATAATTTTACTAATCGTTAAATTCTGATAGCTTTATGTACAGTTTGACGGTTTTCTGTTGTATACAAATATGGTTTTATGTAGAACTGCATGATTAATTATTTGATGTGCAAGCTTTCATAAGCGATGAATTCTGGTATTGTAGCATCGCTCCAGTTAATTATTTCCTTTAGATCTCATCCTAAGTTTTGTATCATCACAGTCTTAAATGATATTTAAAATGAGAACTCTGCAATCAACATGAACTGCATTGTTTCTGATAAACATAGTGTTTTTTGGACAGTAACAACTATTTTTTTTTTTTTTTTTGTACAAAGCTGAACGCCCTGTTTTCATATTGTTTTATTTTAGGATATGCTTTCAATTACAAATTTGAAAATTTGCAGCTTGTGTGATAGCGTAGAGAAATTGAGCAATGGTCGGTTGGGTTCAACAGCTGCGCTAATGGGTTCGCCGGAAAGTGGCTCCTTCTCACCGGGGTAATTCAGTTTTTTTTTTCCAAAAAAAAATAAATTCATTATTATGTAGGACATCATAAAACACCATGAATAAAATGTAATCATTTTCGTGTTCTTGTCTAAAGCTATCCTTCATTCCTGTGTTGAAAATAAGCTTAAATTATAGGATTTCATCACCAGTGCCATGTGGAGCAAACTCAGCTGGTCCTATCGGAGCATCCGGCACTCCATCCGATGCATCCGACTCGAGTGTTGCTACATCTAATAAGAAATCGACGACACGCCGAAATGCCTGGGGTAATATGTCGTATGCCGATCTCATCACACAGGCTATCGTTAGTTCACCTGAAAAGCGGCTAACTCTTTCTCAAGGTAATGGACTGGGCTTATTTCATTATTATAAGGCATATGCCTGTAAAGCTGTGTATTAATTACTGTGTTGTCACTGTTGTTGGATGGATATTGAAGCTCACTCAATTATGATGTATTTTTCAATTTTCTTATTTCGTTTCTCTGAGTTATCCCCTTTACAGTGTATGAATGGATGGTGCAGAATGTTCCGTACTTCAGAGATAAAGGCGATTCCAATAGTTCTGCCGGTTGGAAGGTTTGTCTTTGGTCATTATTTTTCTTTTTATGTTGCAGTTTACAATAGATTTCTTAAATTCTTTAATGTCGTTTCAAGATGATAAGAACATTTGGGAGTACACTTTCAAAAATGCTGATATATAATCTTGAAATTAGTCGTTCTGCGAGTATATAACATTGGTATATATACATATATATATATTTTTTTTTTTCGATGACTCGAAAAGTGAGATCTCATGTTTTAAATCAGTATTTCTGCTTACTCTTTCCTTTATCTGAAATTGCTTTTTGATTCCGAAACTGAAACTCGTTCAACCTTTAGCCTGTCGAAATTCATTTCCCATGGTTTGACGTTTAATCGATGATTTTTGATGTTTTATGGACGGACATGTAGCAGAAAATAACTAACATTAAATGCCTCCCTCCTCTCCACCATCATAACAACTGAAGTGATTGTGTCTCTCACATCAGCTCGTCCCCTATTGAGGGAATGAGAAAAGGAGAAGATGGGAGAGATGCGACATGAGAAATAGATTGGTATTGGTTTTCGTTTCGAACTTCAGGCTTTTTCGTAACAGAAATATCGAACAGAGAGGACCGGATATGCCATGGGGACGATTAACGATTAAGGAGTTTATTTTAGTGCACTTTTACTTACAATCTATTAGAATAAGCACATTTACACAGCTGAATGAAAGGATGGAATTATTGGTTGAAATAAGGTCATATCGATGTTGTTATTGATTCCATTTTTACAGAAACGTTATAGTTTAGCTAGGCCAAAATGTGGATCATAACTTTCAGAAGTAACTTCTTGTTGTATTAAATAGTTGCATCTTTGAAACGGTTCATCAGTTTGATGTATACTTTGAAGTAGAGATGGGATGTATTTCGGTACTGCTATTAATCAAATTGTTACAAAAATTATTACTAATCTGAGTGACACAGCAAGCTGCTACTACTTTGTGCAGTCATCACCTGAGAAAACGATGAGAAAAAACGGAGTCATAGAACCCGATCCAGTCCTTTGATATTTTAACATATACGAGGGGACACAAATGCAATTTTCGTTGGAACTGATTTTATTTATTATCAATAATACCAGCCCAGGAAGTAATAACAAGCTTGGAAAAATGTGACTACGGAATATTGCTAATGATTGTGAAAAGTTTCGAAATTTAATAAGGAAAGAGAAAGAAGAGATGTTTCTGAAAATTAGGAGAACAAATCTTGAAATCGTTTCGTTTTCAAATGCAAACAGAAAATGTAACTGACTTCTTTGAAACTAATAGGAGTAAGTATGCGTTCTTCGAATTATTGGTTATTCAGTGGGACGAAAGCTTTGGATGACCTCTGACAACCCTTCCCTTTACCTCCTCCAGCAATCGATAAGATGTTGCAACGATTTGCCGTTATCTTTAATGCTTGCAGCTTGTTTTCCTTTCTTTGATGTTTTCAGATAAACTTCATTGGTTCATCTGAACTGCGTCCTGCTTTTCTTTTTAATCAAAAATTAAGAACTGAACATAGTGACTGATTACAATGCAGAAAAAATTCTGATATTAAATTAAGTTTGGTAAAGCTTTAGAGGGCGATGAAGTGCTGAAAATGTACCTCCACTGTCATTGTTTTCAGTATTAACTTTAATTACACATGCAAGTGTGATCACAGACGGATTTGACTTAATCAGATTTGGCATACTATAGGATTCGTGTGTTCTGTAGACTGCTAGAAATTTTCTAATGGCCTAGGTGTTAATAGGGCCAAAGAAGTAATGATTGATTGACCATTCTCTAGCAGTGTAATTCCTCAACTGTTGCAGTTCGACGACTGTGTTTACAAGTTCCAAGCGATATAAATGAACAGACTTCTTTGAATACCTTTCAAAAGTTCATTTGTCCCTCTCTATCATTCATATTCATTCATTATTCGCTCTCCATTTAGTGCCTTAATATCACCAACATACCTTTACAAGGTCTAATTTTTCCTCACTCCCCCTTCATCATTTCTTTCGCTTTTTTGGATATTTGCCTCTGTCTTCTTCTCTGAACTCTTCGCCAATGAATATCACAAAATTGTTTTTCCTCTTTTGCTCCATTTCTCTCCGCTGTTTTGCTAGTTGGACATACGAAGAAGAGAGGCTGCTCTAGTGAGAATTGGAGGGAGGTCTATCGGACATAAGAAGAAGGGTCAACGGACCAGGACTCGACCAAAGGGTAGAAGAGTTGCTGTACATCACCGAGTGACCAGCGGATCGTCCCGCTGGGCATACCCTTATTCATCAGCAGCATCTCGACCAGAACGCTAACCGTTATCGAGCGGCCGAAGGTCACTCTACCTATCGGTGCACTTTCTCCATCATACATTCTAAATTTTCGCTTTTTATTGATGTGGTCTGTGATGGATTCCGTTCTCCTTTCGGATTTCGGATTTCGCTGAAATAATCGTTCCTTTTATCATTTATATTCTAGCAGTGGACATTGCTGCCATACGAACGACAACTTATTTTGCTGCTGGCAACTTCTGTTATTATTACTGTGATAAGCATCACGTCTAAAAACAAAACTTTCTATACTGTTTCCTTTTATTGTATAGGCTTCTCGGGATTACTTCGTTTATAATTTGTCTTCGAAGGAAGTGCAATGGAAGCAAGAGATTCAGAGTTGAACCTGGATGATTACGCTGAATTTGAACGACGTGGGCGCTCATATACTTGGCCCGAACGTCAGCTAATTCATCTTGAATTGGGTACCGTTACGATTGGGGCGACAGATCCAGGCCTGTCATCAGAAGGATATACATCCGATCTGCTGTCCCATGAATCTAGCACAAATATCAGTACTACATCTAGCATAAGTTTAACTGAGGCATTAAAATCGAATCTTAGCTTGATTCCAGAACGGAACTGCACCCAAGCGTTAGAAACAACCTCAAAAATAGGCTTGAGCAGAGGAAAACAAAATACCGTCTTGTACTCGAAGAAAGTTCCATTCCGGACACAGAGTGACATGCGGCTTTCAGTCAGTGAGATGGACAACATGAAACCGAATGCTGCAGCATCTTATCCAAGTTTATCCCATTTTTCAGATGCTTTGCCAACTCTATTACTATCATCGTCAGCACAAACTCAGTCTCAATTAGTATCACATTCCAACCTTAGCGCCAATCAAAACAATGTTCCATCAAATGGTTGCGCACAATCCTCCGTTTTAAAGTTGGCTTCAGCAGCAGCGGACACATCAGGATTGATCACTCTGACTAGTTCAGGTGAAAACCTGTCAGACAGTCCGATCTCCTCACCAACACATCTCATTATTGATGGTTCAGTCCAAAATTTAACTATGGCGTCTGTTGATCTACAAGCAGTACCCAACTCAGGTTCACAATTAGCGGACAACCATCGCATGGCTATCATTAAGTCTTTGACATCTTCAGATGCTCTCAGCAGTACTGCTTGTTCATCATCTAATACCTCAAGGAGCTGTACTAAGGGATTAACACCTACTGTCGCAGATTTGGATGTTACCCTGCCGTACTTCTGTGCACGTACAAATACTGTCGATGAGTTGGTTGAGAATGATCCGGAAAATCCTGAAGAGCAAAGGCCGGTTAAGAGAAAACGGGTCCGGAAAAGATTGAATGGTCTTATTAGTATAAAGAAACCAAATCCTTGGGGTGCGGAGAGTTACTCAGACTTGATCGCTAAAGCGTTGAAGAGTACTTTTGATGGTCGAATGAGACTGAACGAAATTTACAACTGGTTCGCTTCCAATGTACCATATTTTGGTAATCGTACAAGTCAGGAGCAATCAGCAGGGTGGAAGGTAGAGCTTTCTTTAATTTCAAGTCTTTTAGTTTGATAGTGTTAAAGTCTGTCTTGTTATTTGATTGCGGTTGTCATGATTTCTGTTATTCAGTGTTTTCTGAATTCATAATTCCTATCCAATTTGTTGCTATTTCCTAATTTTTTTTTTGAAGACTTTTTTATCCTAGAAATCTTCATGTAAAAAATCTGGTTGTTGAGCTATAGAAATAGCAATGATATCTTACCCATCGTTCTCTTTGTTTAGTATGTAGTGAGCGAGGCCTTCGAATGAAAAATTTAATTTACACAGCTTATTTACATTTCTGCGTCGTAATCTCACTTGTTTTTTTATAAGAAAAATTTGAAAGTAATGTCCAACAATTTTGTGTTTTACAGCTCTATGTTTCAAATGGCAAATAATTCAAATTTTCATAATAAAAGAGTGAAGTATCAATGATATTTATCATGGTCTTTTCAGAATTCAATTCGGCATAACCTTTCATTACATAGTCGGTTTATGCGGATACAAAATGAAGGTGCTGGAAAGAGTTCTTGGTGGGTGATCAATCCAGATGCGAAACCAGGTAGGAACCCGCGAAGGCAGCGATCTGCAACATTGGAGACAACTACAAAAGTATGCTTTATAGTTTTCACTTTTATTAAGCTAATTTTTTTTTTTTCTTTTCTTTTGGGTGGGTGGGAGAAAGGAGGATGGGAAGAACTTCTTTGTCAGTTCAGTCTTATGGGTGGAAAAGTGTGACATAATGTTGCCTTATGTGTAGTGATGAATTGTGTAGGCTTTTTACATCCTGTAGACACATGTGTTTGATTGTTTATAGGAATTTTCTATTCGGCAAATTTAGGCTTTCACTTGGTACAAGTGACAAAAGTTAGATTTTTCATGACGACGAATATAATATGCATTAACGATAGGAAAAAAGGAAAGAAATAGAAAAAGCAGTCTTTTGTGCTAATCTTTTGTGAGAACTTGATACATCAACAATACAGTGTTCGAAATGAATAAAACAAAGTATTCCGCAGTGAGGGATTTTCACTAATTTCTCGTTAATCGCCACATCTAATTAAATTTTATCGTAAAAAATTGTTCTTCAGCAGTGATATTTAACAGATATCGAACGAGATTGTTTTAATTTAAAGTTTTGTCCCTAAAATTTGGTGATAACTATTGTTGCTTCAAATTTGATTTTTGCAAATTATAACAAATCCGCAGTTAAGGTAGCGATGGACAAGAAACGACGAGGTGCACGTAAGAAGGTGATGGAAATGCGCGCAGGTGCTGGAGGTGGTACTTTACATAGCGCTGGTAGTTCGATTGTTGGTTCGCAGGTAGCGTTAGTTATCGAAATTATGGAAACTTACATTTATTAATTTTAAGAAAGAGATGTGGAATTTGCATGCAACAGTTTTGCGACTACGCTTCTTAGCTAAAAAATATTCTAACAGAGCTGGAGAAATTCTTTACCGTGACAGAAATTTCAAAAGTTGTGAAGAAATGATATCTTGCTTTTTCAGACGTCGGTACTGAGCCGTGAGTTATATACTGGTGAAGAAGATTCATCGAATTTTGAACCTTTCCGGTTAATATTATCACCTTCACTTTTCATTCTTTGAATACATTCTTTGGATTTTTTCTAACAAAATGTTTATATTTCTCTATTTTATCCTCTCTTTGGGAGGATGTGCTAACTTTTGGACGCGGAAGAATATCGTTAAAGTTTCACCATCTTTAAATATTGCCATTTATCAATGCAGATTTTGTCTTTCGGGAAAAAGATGTTGATGGTAAAACTTGAATCATTTCAGTTCTCGTACTCAGTCGAATCTTTCATTGTCCGGTTCATCATCACGAGTATCGCCATCGATGATAGAGAATTACGAGAATTTCGATAGTTTTGATTTTCCGCCTTTTGTGGAGGCTGCTAGTGCCATGCCTCACGATATCCTGGACCGCACTAATGAAGTAATTTTAATGCATAGTTTTTTGTATTTGCTTGACTATTTTTGTCACAGTTTCATATATTATTCACAAAATTGCAAGGACAGTGAAACCTTAAATACCAGCATATGTTGAGCCAACACAGAGATAAAATAGTCGTAGTTATTCGATTTTATCATTTTGCAGATGAATTTAAATCAGAGCGATAGTCCCGCATTTCACAGGCCTATGGCTAATCCAATGCTGAATGGTACCAGTGCACCAACTTCCTCCAACCTAATCGCACACATTAAAACTGAGCCGTCATCCAGCAGGGTATTACATTTTTTCTTCTGGGTGAATAAGTTCATAGCAATGGACATTAGTAATTTTTTTTTGCTTTCATACTTTTCTGTCTCTCCGCTTTACGTATTTCTTTAGTTCAATACATAGTAAATTCTGTATTAATACAGAATTGTTCATTCTGACGTAAGCTATTTTAGACCGAAAATAGTGTTCAACCACCACCATCTTACCATGAACTGGATGTTGTACGGGGTGTTCAAAACATCCAGAATCCGTTGTTGCGAACACATCTTATACAAAATAGGATACCGAATCAACAAGGGTAGGTGATTTCCGTCAACTAGATTAGATTTATTTTTTCAAGAGTTCCTTTGAATATATTCTTTCTATATTCATGGGTTTTACATTATTACAAATCATATAATAACTAGAATTATTCTGCCGAAAAACACTGAAATTAAAAGAAAACCGAAATTTTGATATTTTTCGACATTTATTAGTTTTCAGCTTTGAGAAGGAATAAAGTGGTACTTGGTAACTATGTTAAACTAATCTGAAATAAACTGGTTCATTGTCTTCGAATTAGTTGTTCTTTTAGGGTACCATACAACGGTAGCTACTCGTCCGGAAGCGGTAGTGTCGCCTCATCAAATTGGATGCACTCAAATGTGGTCCCTGTCAGTGTTCATCCTTCAATAAGCTGTGCTGCACAGCAGTCATTCAGTGGTAACACAGCAGCTTTACCCATGGATTTGGAAAACCTGGCACTTCCTGATCAACCGCTGATGGAAGTGGAAAACATGGAAGCAGTCATTCGTCATGAATTGTCTCAATCTGCTGGTAGTCAGCTTAGTTTCGACAATATTTAGGTTTTCAGATGGGAATAGATGAGATTCTATGGTTTTGTCACCACTTTGCCGCAGTTACTTGCGTTCTCGAATAGTGTTCATTTCCCTGTCGTAATTCTGAAATATAAGTTGAAGAGACTTGGAAAGTGTCGTTTTTGATTCTTGTACTTAGCTCAATCGATACGACCAGTATAAAAAATTCAAAAAATTAATTCTTATTCTGTCATAAGCCTCGTGCATTTGGTCCAAATTGTTCAGAAATGTAATTCATGATTATTAAGCTTTAAATCAGGATGTATATTTACAGTGTCTGGTTACTCCTTATTTTAATGGCTTTTCTTCATTGAAATCTTGTATTTGAATCACAGATGTTGTTGAAAAGTATCAACTTGATGGAACCAACTTTCTTTTTTGATGAGAAAGTGAACACTAGAATGAAACGTAGGTTTTTTTTATTAATAGGAGGGACGAAAGATCCTTTATTTACTCATCTTTTCCTCTTTGTTTACTCATATAAAACGGGTGATGAGCTGCACAACGTGAATACATATTTTAGTAACGTGCATGCATACTTTAGTTGCTAAAAGGAATGTTTGCTATTCTTCTTGGAAAGGTTGAATGCTGTCACAGCAAAGAGCAATAGAACCATGGTGATAAGACGTTTTACGAACATTTCTGAATGTCATCATGGTTTTTCTTCTTTCATGTTCGCGCATCTGCACTGCAACAGGTTTTTGCAATTAACTGCACATTGCAGCAATGTGCACAGAAAAGAAAATGGTACATTGTAGTCATTATTGTGTTGTTTTTGGGGACTCTTATCCTGTTTTCAGTTCATTTCGCGCATTGCAAATACCTCAATTTTGACCTTTTTTCTCATGGGATCATTTCTTAGTACACAATGTGAAGCGATATCATGTTTTTTGTTTGTATAGATTAGAAATTGAATTTTCCTGGCACAGAAGCAAGATTTCGATTGTACTAATGTAATCTGCATAGTTACATCAAGCGATTCTTTCAAAGACCGTAAATATTTTACTTTTTTGATTTCACTTAAACATGGATTTTTTTTAAGCCCATCTCTTCAATCGTTTGTCCTAAGGAAGATTGGTCGAAGATTCCCTCTGTATGTACTTCGTGGCCGTTCATGTTCTGAAAATTTTTTCTTCTGAAAATTTATATGGTGCCAGAAGAATTTTTTTTCTTTCAAATAATGTGCAAAATTTAGGAAAACTCGTTACATGTAAAAAGAAGGAATTTAATAATTCACTTGCCAGATTTATTTTAATGTCCATTACACATAGAACATGCTGTTCATTTCGTGTTTCAATCATTCTTTAAAAAGTTCACATGCCAGGGAACTGTCGTTGCGAATTCATTCTCAAGATCAGAGTATAGCTCTAACTCTAGAACTAAGTTTATATGTGTGGTATAAGATTTGCTGTGAAAGCTTGTTCTTCAGTGCTCTTCTAATTGCATTTTTATGATTATTTTCATGGCTCTTGGGTTATTTGAAGAAAGTACTAAGAGCAGTCGAAGGTAGTAACGTCATTAGCAGTTCTTAGATGAAAATTGTAGAATCTGGACTGTGATAATCTACAAAAGTGATAATGAAGATAATTCTGAGATTACTTCGTGATGACTCTTTCCTGAGGCAGTGCTATTACGGATCTTTCCTACACAATTTTTTTAGAAACTCGTTAAGCTATTTTTATATTTCCTTGACATTGTGTTATAAAAATACTCTACCTCGTAATTTGTTTTCTCTGTCGATTAGTTTTAGAAATAATCGTTTTCTGTAATAGACAAGAGGTGAATAACTTCATTTTTTTTTTTCAGTTTGCTTTTGCTTGTACTGTGTTCATTTTTGACGTCGTTCATGCTCTACCTGGTACTACCTGCTCTGAGGTTTTTTCTTAATTGTTTGTTATTGATGCTGCAATTCAGGAAAATTCTGGCTTCTTGAACGAATGGGAGGTTTAATTACTTCCTCGAAAATAGAAATATGAGGAAGTGAAAAAGAAAAACAATGACGTCGGTTTTTGAATGGAAAGTTTCAATGAAAAGAGGGCACCGTAGTAAAATTTTATTTCCTGGTTTGATATGATTCAACATTCTGCGGTTGATGTGCTTATCAACTGAGAAGACACAGCTCTTACAACAGGATTTTTAAATGTTTCTTCTTTATGCTGCAACTTCCAGCTATTTTTTTTTAATAGGAATTCGAATGCGGGAATTTTTCATTTTATATTTTCTTTTAATTTTTTCTTAGCTTTGGCTTTTTTCATGAGTTCCTCGCTTTTCCATTTTTTGCCTGCTGGATTCATTGCCGCGATACGGAATATGTGCATATTTGTTGTTAAGATGTTTTGTTTTGTATGTTTTTTCTGAATTTTACCACTTTCATAGGTTTGGAGACCGATGCGAAATAGCTACTGAAAAAAAATGCATGTGAAAGATAAGGATAAACGCATTAGGATTATCCCGCCCTTCAGTTCATTGCTTTTGATTTTGGAACTTTGATGTAAGTTATATGCAGATAGTAGTTAGCGCAATCGTGTCAGTCGTAAAGCAGAGTTAGACCACTGTCTAATTCTCTCTATTTGCAAAAATTCCTTTCTTGAGCACTTTTTAGCCATTGTTCATTTGAAACATAAAGTGTTCTTCATAAACATTTTTTGCGAGGGAAAATCTGTAATTTTTATGGTCAGTTGTTCTTTTGATGATTCTTCTAGTTTTCACCATATGTACGTCTATTTTAATTTTGCTTCTCTTCAAAATGTTTAATAAAATGGTTGAAAAAGTGTAGCTTGGCAGTTTTCATAACATCTCGAATTAGTATTCAGCCATCGAAACTGCTTGGCTTTCTATTGCATTTCTCATACCTGCTAGACATTTCTATACTTGGTAAGTTAGGATTTGAAGAAATCATTTGTGATAGCTGAGTCACATTTCGTTAGAAGAAATTGTAATTTTAATAGACACTGGTTAATAAATAACACAAGCGTAAAGATAGATAGGAATATTCGTCCCTACTCAAACTGATCACATTCCATCTAACCATTCGGAATATTCTTAGTACATAAGGATTATTTTTTTTAGGATCTGTTAAACATATGATTGCTTAATGTAAAAATTTTCCATAGTCGACTAATAAATGACCACTTACTGAGATAAATTGATCACTGAAATTGTACAACTCTATTTCAGAAGTGTTTTCTTCGCAAGCATCTTTATTTAAAGTTTTGTGTTCCCTGCAAGAGGGTTTCGCTCAAGATTGTGTTGGTTTAGATCATTTAGCCGGAGACCATACGAAATGGAATAGATGAAAACTTTATTTCTTGCCATGAAACATTTTCCAAACAAACTAAGTTTTGAAGAACTGTTCGAGAATTCACTGGCAGACATGTTATCATGAATGAAAAGACAGTGGATGCTGATTTTTCGAATAAAGCAGAAGCTTGGTCTTTCATCTTTATTGAATTAAAATGTCTTCCGAGTTGTGCTGTCAGTGTGGATTCTGCCGTTAGCCACAGACGTCAACTAATGTGTTTGTTATTCTAAAACAGAGTTGTCAGTAAAAATACAAAATGGTTAATCTTTTTTGGAGTGTCGCCTTATAGTTAGCATTTCGATATGGATGGATTCCCGTTGATAACGCAAAATTAAAAGTTTTGCACTGATGTTGTTGTGAAGTAATAGATAAGAAACTGAAGTGCAGTTTTCTTGATAATTTAATGAAAAAAGAACTTCAACTTATCAATTTGAAGGTCTCAATTATTTCCTTTATATACTGATGCTGTGTGTTTCCACTGGAGAAGCGGAAGTTTTGATAGCTGTCTTCAGGAAGTAAATTATCTACCTCTCAGTCCTCAATGAGATGTAATGTTTGTTATCTGATGGAAAATGTCGAACAAATGAGCCAAGCAAGCAGCTACAACATTCTACCATCATCTCGAGCAAATCGTACAGTCAACCTCGCCGCCATACTGTCCTAACCCCGCCACTACTAGAGTCAGATGAGTAAGCAACCAATCCTGCTGCTGAACATTGTTTGTGTCTTAGAATGGGAGGTAGCGTTTTTGGCATTTAGCCAGCGGAAGGCCAAACAACGCAGTCAGGTAGATGAAGAGATTTGTGTTCGGAGGCGGAAAGTGGAAGAAGTGAGATGGTCAGGGATGATAGGTGAGGACACATGACTAGTTGTAATGTCGCGTTTATCTTTTGTTTGGTATAAGAATGAGGATGAGACATTTTTGCAGGAAGATGTCGCTATCCAGTGACATTTCAAAACAACCACAGATCAAGATTGGTCACTATGTGTTAAATCAGACACTTGGTGTTGGCACTTTTGGGAAAGTCAAGGGTTACTTTTGTCTTCATTTTTATCACCTAATTGGAACAGTTTCTTGTCATAAATCACTCGCCAGTTCATCTTTCTATTGCAATTAAGTAAATTGACTTCTCATAATTGCATAATTAAATCTTTTTAAACTTTATAAATTAAAGTAGGAACTCATGAAGGCACGGGTTACAAAGTGGCTGTGAAAATTCTGAATCGACAAAAGATTAAAACATTGGATGTTGTTGGCAAAATACGTCGTGAAATCCAAAATTTGTCGCTTTTTCGACATCCACATATCATTCGTTTGTAGGTTTCTTTCTTCATTATCTCCTATTTCACCATATTTTCGGTTGCACTGGATTTGCTTATTTCTTCCTTCTATTTTATGTATTTGGTTACTTATTTGTATATATCTTTCTGTTCATATCTCTGTTATTGTTTTAATTGGATGAAGGAACTTATATTATTAAAGGCTAGCCAATGTTGTACAATTAATTTATTTTTCCTTCTATCGTTATCAATTAACTGTATATAATTCAGGTATCAAGTAATAAGCACACCCACAGATATTTTTATGATAATGGAATATGTTGCGGGTGGTGAACTTTTCGATTATATCGTCAAACATGGAAGAGTTTGTTTTTACTTTAATATTGCATGTGATTTGCTTCATAAGTAGTTTCTAAAATTTCTTTTTTACTTTCTGTGCTCAAAAGTGAAAAATAAAATTTCTATGCTGGACAAAAATATGTCCTTTGTAGAACTTTCTAGAACTACGATGTCTTGCTGTTTATATCTTGCTGCAACAAATAGACTAACAAAATCTGCCATTTTTCAGCTAAAGACTCCAGAAGCACGTCGTTTTTTCCAGCAGATAATTTCGGGTGTGGATTACTGTCATCGTCACATGGTTGTACATAGGGATTTAAAGCCAGAGAACTTACTTTTGGATGATAAAAATAATGTAAAGATAGCAGATTTTGGTAAGCTCCATATTTTTATATGAAAAGACCATATAAAAATATGGTCTTTTCATGAATATGGTTTCCTTAGAGAATAACTTCTGATTGTAGTTTTAATTTTTTACATTATTTTTCAGGTTTATCGAACATAATGACAGATGGGGATTTTTTGCGAACAAGTTGCGGCAGTCCGAATTACGCAGCACCTGAAGTAATTTCAGGGAAGTAAGCTGTACAGTTGTTTTCTTTTTAGTGAAGTTTCATGAAAATTTACATTGTGATTTTTGTACTAGTAGTATTACTTTCTAGATTATACGCAGGTCCCGAAGTAGACGTGTGGTCTTGTGGTGTTATCTTATATGCTCTTCTCTGTGGTACTTTACCTTTTGATGATGAACATGTGCCATCCTTGTTTAGGAAAATTAAAGGTATTTTACTCTGTTTTCCATCAATGCTTCCAATTAATTTTGACTAGTTATTTTACATTTCTGAAAAGTATGGTTTGGTTCTGGCTTAATAATGTAGATATAGATATGGATATAGATAAATTAGATAGATTGATTTATTGGTACAGATGGATTGATTTGATGGCTTTTGAGAGTAATTTAGTTTTCAGGTTTCGTCCACCGAAAATTCCAGAGGTTCCTATATAATGATATAATGAGTTTTTTTAGCTGGCATATTTCCAATTCCTGATCATTTGGAGAAGCAAGTGGTCAATTTGTTATTACATATGCTGCAAGTTGATCCAATGAAAAGAGCTACAATTAAAGATGTTATGTGAGCTTTTTAGTGTTTTCTAATTTTATGACTTTGTCATCATGCCTTATTTTTTATCTATGTCAGATTTTTAGACAGCACGACTGGTTTCAAAAAGATCTGCCAGCTTATTTGTTTCCACCGATCAATGAAAGTGAGGCTTCTATTGTCGATATAGAAGCAGTAAAGGAGGTCACTAGGGTGTGTATTTATTAACATTTATTTTTAGTGAAATACGCATTTATTTGCAATGATTTTGTTCATGTAATTAAGTTTCCTCTGTTTTTGAATCCAGTTTTTAAGTTTTTTAAAGATGAGAGGGTAGACAAAGTTGCAGGCAGCATCAGTCAGCCAAATTATTTTTCTTATAGCGATATGGTGTACTGGAAGAGGATGTAACGAATGCCCTGTTGGGTGATGATCCACACCATCATTTGAGTATTGCTTATAACCTGATTGTTGACAACAAGCGTATTGCCGATGAAAGTAAGCTAATATTTTCCAATTTCTTGTTACGTACTTTTCTATCTTTCTTTCTTATTTTTACTGTCATTACACAAGTGGCATGAAAATTTATGGCACGCTCAATTTGGGAAGACCATTCATATTTGTTTTGCTGATGCTTAAAATTAGTGCTTAAAAGCTATCATTTCTTTTTCACTGAAACATTTTTATCCACTGGTTTAATTAGTTTATCCGCAAGAATTTGTGATAATTTATCGAGATCACAGTTGTCCTACCTTTAATTTCATGATGTTTAGGTAACTGTATTCATAATTTAAGTTCTTTTTGTTTTGTCTTGCTGATGCTTAAAATTAGTTTCTTGTAATACTTCAACTTCAGTCAATTTCTTAAAAAACTGAACTAAATACTTTTAACAGTTCTATATCTTGGATGAATTAATGCAGTTTATGATCCGTATGGCTGCATATAAAGTTTCTGTTTATTTAAGATTTCAGAAAGTCTTTAAAAGGATTAAAATATCAACACTTTAATACTTGCTCCAACACTAGGAAAATAATGTCATTTAGCTGCAAAGCTATCAATTGAGGAATTTTATCAAGTCACGCCAATAGGGAAATTCCAAACGGCGGATATGTTTCACAGACATCCAGAACGAATATCAGGTATGTTTTTCTTTAAGACATCAGAGTTTTTGATGTTTTTAAAAATCTTATGAGGTTCTACTAATTTTTTTGCGTCGCGATATTTTGGAAAATCGTAGTTTAGGATCAAATAAAATTACTCCATATTTGGAGAATATTGGTGGTAGTGGTGATTCGATGTCCAACAGTCAACATAGGTCGCAGTCGTCTTCTAATGTAGCAGCTTCTCAGAAATCTCCTCATGTAAGACGAGCTAAATGGCATCTTGGAATAAGAAGTCAGAGTCGACCAGGTAACTTTTGTCTCGTGGATTTTTTTTTCTATTTTAGGATGGGATTTTAGAGAATGGCTGCTTTCGGCAAAAAACTTTTGGTATATTTTTACAGAAGACATAATGTATGAGGTGTTTAAAGCGATGAAATCGCTTGGTTTCGAGTGGAAGATATTTAATCCTTATCATGTTGTTGTCCGAAAGAAACCTGAATGCTCAACTCATGAGCCTGTGAGTGTATCTTTTTTTTCCATTATTGTTCATTGTACATTTTATTGTGACATTTTATCTGAATGACAGATATAGCACTGTCAAACTTTAGCCCAAGATGAGCCTTCAACTGTACCAAGTGGACCAGAAAAGCTACCTCCTTGATTTCAAAAGCCTTGTTGATGAAGACACAGGTATGAATGTCTTGGAACTTTTCATATATTAAGTCAAAGTAATTTATTTTTACCCTTGGATTTATTAGCCTTTTATGTATTTTTTGGATGGGAATTCTTTGGAAGATTTTTTGATAATCACTATACTTTTATAATTGGCAACATTATGGGTGATTTAAAGGCAGTGCAAGTTCTTCGCGTCATGCATCAGTTTCAATGCCTGTGAAGCCTTCATTAAGAACTGGCCGTGCTCAGTCATTGCCAGTTCCAATGGAAGTAAGTTTTCGTATGACATTTTATCCAGACGAGTATTAATCTCGAGCTTCTTTTGGAAACGATTGTCCAAAAATTATCAATTTTAGGTTGATCATTCACCTCTCCCTTCACCAGTAGTCATTAAGCAGTCACAAACGATGCAGTTCTTTGAAATGTGCGCTTCATTAATTGGTACGCTAGCGCGTTGAAATATTTTGCTACTCCAGAAATTTAGTTCACTAAACTTAATAAAAAAATTTCAAGTGTCGAATACTTTCATTAATGGTGCAAAATATATTCCTTTCTCTTCAAATCTGTGTGTCTTTGAAGCATTACATAATTTTGTTCCTAACTTTTATGTTAGGAAATTAGTAATTGACAAATTAGGATTGTTTATAGGTTTTGTTTTATTCTGAAGGTATCAGGTAAGGACTTGTAATCTAAACATCAGGCTATGGACGATTGTTTTTCAATGGATGATGGGAAAACTTTTAAAATTTTTTGTTTCTGTGAAAAGTATACCGGATACAAGCATTCTTTTTCTTTTTTTTGAAAGAGAGAGAGAAAGGGCTTTAATGCAGCGTATTGGTGTTTTTCATTCTTTCTGTCAAAATGACCTGGAGGAAGTCAAAATACATGACCTTCTCCAGGTACTTTTTTGCTTCTTGGAAGAAGAGAATTTTTGAATAGCTTTAAAATTCGCGTATACTCTGAGAAATTCATTAGTCATCAGCACTGCTTTTTAAATTGTCAGATGTTGTACAGATGTTGTTTCAGCTTCATGATGATGCATGTGATCATTTTAGTGTTTCTATTGTTTATCAATATATATTTGCTAAATAAATATTCTGTTATGTTAGATGCTTTGCAGGTTTTTTACGGAGTAATTTTATCAAAATAACAAATCATTTATTCAGTGTTTAGTGATCATCGATGTTCTTTTTTTAGGGGATTATCTAATTAAATGAGACTTCTTATTTAATAGTCTTAAAGTTTTTTCAAAATTTATCCAGCTTCGTGCTGATTGTGCAGTGTGTGTTTTCAGAATATCTTGGGCCAAAGTATTGGAAATGCTGTCGTTTAGTTTTCACTGAATTCAATTATGTTTGCGTCATCGATAAACAAAGCAGCGTTAGTGTCTCGAAAAATAATGCCTTTGTTTCAGTAAAACAATATATCTTTTTGTCTGGCGACGTATCTGTCTTATGTGTGAGTTGGTGGAGTATTCGTTTCGATAAGCAGCGTTTTCTGGTTGTGAGTCTTTAAAATGTATATTTGTTTGTACATTTCTGCAAATATTTCTATTTATTTACTGAGAATTTTTTCTGAAGGGTGATTTTTTTTGGGAGTGGGGATTTTGTTTTACTGAATTATCAACATTTGTTTGAGACACTGACATTATTTTGTTTCTTGGTGACGCAAAGACAAATGCTTAGTCGAAAGCTAGTTTTTGTTGCATATCATTTCGAATGCAGATAATTTGTTCGTTAAGATCATTAAGCATGTCGGTGCTTTAAACGGATGTAAATTCCGCTTTTTTTAACTCTGGAGTAAGCGGAGATTAAGATGAAGGTTGTTTGGATCTGTTCCATGTTCTAGTAGTGTTACTGCTTTTTGGAGAGTGTCATACTATTTTGTAAACTGTCGACAGATCAAGTTTGAAAAATAAGGGAAATTTACCTCGAGAGGAACCTATTAAGAATTAATAGAGCTGCGATGCATCATAAGTCGATGATGGTATGAGGTTATGTGAAGTGTCAAAAAGGAAAGTGCTGTTTCTATCAGTGTGAGGAAAAAAGTAAAAAATAAGTTGTTACTTATAATCATTATTAATGAAAGACATACTGGCATAAGAAATAGATCGTTTCCCTACTAATTCCGTAGTAGCTGAATAAATAAATTTCATGATCTTTATCGATAGTTATATGAGTGATATTATAAATTTTATTAGTCTCATTACACTTATCATTAGAATGCCGATGCAAGTCCTTTCGCTTGTTTGTAAGTGATATCATTGTACAAAGAATAAACTAGTCACTGACAAAAGCAATAAATGAATTAAATATCTGTGTTGTATCTTTACTGGCATGCCTAAAAAATGAAGAAATAAGAAAAAATAATTTCTGAAAAAGACTGGACTTCGAATGGCTACAAAATTTGAAGCCAATATGTTGTATTGCATGATTCTCTTCATTGAATTCATTATCGGAACACATAATGACTGACATAAAATAAGGGACGAATACATTTCCGTTATTTAAGTGTTTGGAGTCCTTGGCATCCAATATGTGGCGTTAAAGTTCTATAATAAGAATGATAACTTTACCTAGTGATAACAATAAAAGGGTCTAGGACTGTTAGTACTCATTGGAAATCAATATTGATTGTCCTCCGGTCTGACTTGTTACATGATAACTTCCTTCAATGATTGATGAAAAAAACGAAAGAAGTGATCACTGAAGTATAACAACCCTAGCAATTGTTGTGAATTAGTCATTTTACAACTTGGCGTTTTTTTCTCACTGCTTTTCAATGGTTTCTAGCAATTTCTAGCTTGTCAAGATCTTACAAATGAGTTACTACTATTTATGAGATTGCTAGTTCCATGAATAATTTTCTTTTTTGGCTATCCTTCATTACAATGCATATTTTAATTTTATAAATATACTTATGTATTTGAACTAATTTACTGAAACTGCTGAATACTTTGTCAGAAATACCTCTAATCCACTATTCAAAATCACCACCTTAAGAGACTTCGCAGTTCTACTGATTATCAAAGCTTTTGTAGGAAATAATTAAACCTGTAATGCAAAGGTAATTCCAATTTATTTCTTCAATCCAATATAATCATAATGATCAGCTAAATGTCGTAACCAAACTATTTCAAAATTTTCTTGCTGAATTTAATAGTTCCGAAAATTTGTATGTGCCAAAATGTGTCAGAATTTGATAAAATATTCTGCAATTATATGAAGAAATGAAAAGATTTCACTGCTCTTAATTTATTTAACTTCTATTTGCAGTGATTATCCAGATGCAAGGAGTTACATTGTTTATAGGCTTCACTGTAAATTTAAATCTTTTGAAATATTAATATTTGGGTTTTATGGAATAGCCAACTCGATACTTTACATCAAACAAAGCAATTAAACAGTATGGAAGTATATGGCTTTATTGAATCAGTCAGGAAAAGTGTCATGAAGAAAGTAATGGATGGTCGAAGTACTTGCAGTAGAGCTGAAAGGTAAAACTTAACATTCAAGCCATGATGATAACTTAAAAAATTTCTTTGCAATTAAGTTTTTTTGCATCACAGTTGGATGTATCTGTTCATTTCTTCATCAACACTTATCAGGAAAAAGCTTATCTTCATCCCAATCTTCAGTCTATCAAACAACTTTCAATCTCCTGTTCCTTAAAAATTTATAAATTCAAGTAAACAGTGGGAAATGAAAAACGCCTTATAAGTAACTATGCAAAAAAAGAAATAGAAAATAACAGTATTCAATTTCAACCACTTTCGTCTTAACTATATTTGGTTTTCCATGTTTTATTGTCACTGTTTATGCAATTTTATTGTATTCATGCTAATATTATGAACGATACGATTAGCTCGAATAATCAATATGAAATCGTAAATACATTTTTTCCTGCTTTTTTGTTTCTCCAAGTAATCTAAGCAGTGTAGTAATTATAACGTATTACATACACAATCGATCTATTTAAATTTTCCTTGAAGTAGTCCTCGATATGCAGTTGATAGTATGCTTCGATAAAGATGCTTGTGTTTGGATAGGTATAAGGGAAAAAGGGAAGCTTCAGTCCAGAAAATTTCTTCTGACACAGATATGTTCATCTCATTTTTAAAATTTGATTTGAAGATATGACAATAACAATAAGTTGTCAATCTTCTACTCAGTTCTCAAATGTTCTTTAAATGAACATTCGATGAAGTCTTCGTTTGATTATAGCTTACAAATCCTTTCAGTTATATTTGCTATTATGTTGCCATCTTCTTAATCACTTTTATTCTTATAATATCAGTCTCTCGGAATACAAAAAAATCAGAAATTTCCAGGTTATATTAATAATTATCGTTTATCTACGCTTAAACAAATTACTTCATTTCGTTTCCTCTGCAAATCTACATTTAAGATAACCTAATTTAAATCGGCCCAGTTTATCACTGCAAGCTTGTTCTTTGTTTCGTTATTCCGAATTTCACAAGTTTTTTATTTACAAAGCAAATTATCACTACCTTATTTTTCGGTTTGTTTTAAAATATTTTATGTTTATTTGTATAATTACTTCAATTCGCATAATAGTTTTCCTTTGATATAAGTAAGCACAGCAAAATGAAATAAAAAAGTCAGAAGTGTAATCGAATTAAATTTACATAAAAGTTAAAATTTAAAAACCCGAGCACAATTATTCACAAAAACATAAAAAGTAAAAGAAATACGCGTATGAACAAATCGGATAAACCAATGTGCACAACAACACCTCAATCAAGTCACACATAAAATTCACATATACTCTGCAATTTGAATATGACTGAGTTAAATATGATTTAGACATTAAATACTTGTTACCTCATTGCAGCAAGTTAGAAGCAATTTTAAAATATTTCAGAAGTGGTTATTCGGCGTTCTATTTCGTTATTTCAAAAAAAAAGAAAAAATCGAATTGAATGAGTGACAACAAATGGTAGTAAGAAAACAACGACTTTTATATCAAATATCAATGATAAATATTAAATCACATAACCCTGTCCAACAGCAACAAATTTTGAATATTGGAGGTGTCAAATTATGAAGAAATGAATACATCAAACTGTATATAGCACTCATAAGAAGTCAACTACTGAAGAAGAGAAAATGTATAAATTGTGAAAATGTTCCTTGTATTCATCTCCTTAAGAAATAACAAGCTTTTAATGAGGAATGAAATGAATTTTTAATTTGCATTTAGTTTGAACAATGAAGATGTGCCTTCAAGAGTGTACTTTGAAAGTATAAAACGAGAAGTAACTGAAGTGTAGGAACTTTCCACTTTGCACATCTGGAATTTAATACCAAGTTTAGTGAATCATGAATCATTATATCTTTGTTACGAAAAAATGCTAAAGGTCTACCAGACGAGACATGAATCGGAGATAAGAACAAATTAAACTGCTAGCATAATCTGCTGAAAAAGATGGTCTTTGTGGATCGTCAAGTATTTTGTAAGAAATTAATTGAATGAAGAAGGTTGGTAAAACAAATCATATGAAAATTAGTGGAAATTTAAACTAAAAATTCGGAAACTATTTGAACCAAAAAGCGTACACAGACTTGTATACAATCATCGACAGCATTTACGAATCCATCATTATCCTAATAAAATCACTGATTATGCACATCTACGAAATTCTTCTTATAAATAGATTTGGTGATAACACAAAGCAACAACAAAGCAAAGGAAAAAAGAAAAACAAAATCATGGCAATCATGGCAGGCATAGCAGTAAATGAATTTTTAAAGATTCCTCTCAGTAAATTGCTAAAAGCAGGCCATAAAAAAATCTAAATAAAAGCATCAATATCCTCGGTTACGACCACTCAGAAAATTTAAAAGGATGTCCAAATTGGGATCGATCGAAAGTAATTTTTATCTATGAAAAAAAGATGTAATTCAATATGGTTTAGAGGTTGGATAAAATAATTCAGAAAAGGAAATAAATTCAGAAAGAAATTTATTCAATTCAGTAGAAGATGAATCTTCTAATTATCATTCAGCAGTTTGTTCAACCTTTATAACCGAACTGTGGATTTGATTATTGTATGGGTTTACTAATGCCAATACCGAATTATTCACCAGATCTAATTGGCATTGTATTTCTGCTAAGCATTGACCTGCTGAAGATGTTGATCCATCCGACGGCTGTTGCAACTGCTGCACTGTTGGATCTACCGAATCACGACCCGTATCATCTATATTAGTACAATTAGTTGATGCAATTGGTAACGCCGCTGATATAGGTGATTCTGGATCTGGTTTGGGACAAAAATTATTTGGATTCGTCAACGTTTGCACAAGCGTTGTCTGTTGCTGATGCGCAAACGATGAGAAAAGGCTTGTTTCGATTTCAATTGGACTGTTTCCTGGTCGGACAGCTGGGACGGATATAGGAACGGAGGTAGCTATCGATGCAACGATTCGGTCGTCCAGACCTATTCGATCTGTCTCCATTGGTGTATTTGATATACTAGCTGTTGGTGATGGTGATGAAATAGCATCAGGTGAGCTCTGAAAATATACTTCCTTCAAGGGAAAAAGATTTCTATGAACTCAAGTTCGACTCTTTGCTAGTAAACATCGCTATCAAAAAGTAAATTCGTGCGGAAATGAAATTCATTCCTTTATAACTTTTTCCTCAAAATTTCACCTATTTTTCTCTTTTTCCATAATAAAACGACGTTAAAACAATAACTTTAGAACACAAAAAAATATACAAGATTAGCTTACGACTTGTGACAGATTCGCATTATTAGCCTCATTACACTCATCATTAGAACGCCGACGCAACTCCTTTCGCTTGTTGGCAAACCAGTTTGCAACAACTTGTGGTGATACTACTTCCTTTGGCATCAATCCAACCCCTACAGATAGTATCTTTCAAGCCTGAATTCGAATAACTTATCTACAAAGCAATTAGTCAAATGTGAAAAATGTGTAAAATAACATAACACTAACAATGATTTTTTTAACATACCTTTCTTATCTATCTGTAATGCCTGATTACAGGCAGTAGCAATCTCGATTCGACGATTTAAATCTGGAAATGGTGTTTGAGCAAAGAAACCCTCTAAAATTCTGATTAAAATCGGGCGAAAAACATATCGTTCACGACGTTGCGGAATCAATTCACCATCACCATTTGTCTCCAAACGAGTGGATGGATCGGCAAGGAAAGAAGCTGAAAAAGGATTTTTTCAAGTTTTTTGAATCTTGCTAATTGCAATTGCAGACTAAAAAGGTTAGTGGATTTTATATTAAACTCGACTTACAAAGTTTCTCTGGATGCCGCCTACAATTCAGATACCATGAATATATATTTTTTCGACAACGTAGCGACAATTCACGATGATTACCATTGAGCAGTTTTGAAATGTATGGCTGTGAAACTCCTGAATTTTGGAAAGTAATTATTAAGTAATATTATTAGAAAAAAAAAAAAACTAAGGTATAAGGATCAATGTTGGATCAAGTACTGTTTTTAATTAAAATTAACATGGAAGGTGACTTAATGGAACTTTACACGTTTGATAGTTCCACCGAAAGCAATATTACTGAAAATCTGTGTAAGCTAACCCGTCATCATAGCAACTGTAGTCTGCCTAAGTGAAAATTGTGTGATAAACTTTTTCATATCCAGTATGCACGCTTCTTCGCCCTGCTGCATAAATTCATCCAATTCACTAGGGTCATCTAAAGTTGTAATTTCACGCATCGGTGTCCTTTGCGAACGGATTGGTCGACAGTTAGAAGGCGAAGAACCTTCGAAATTATACTGTCCGAGAATGCAAGCAGGAGGTATCGGAGCTGTAGCAGTAGCTACCGCTGATGTTGCCGCATCGTTTGCACTGGTGGATGTCGTGCCACTCGCAGTTGTTGAAAGAGGTAAAGAATTCTGGACAGTACATCGGTCTGGTGACGTAGTTGGCAGAGACGGAGAAGATGATGCATTTATAGTAACAGGTACTGGAGCCTAGAAAAGTTAATGAGATCAAGTACCAAAGAATATCAGCAACTGAAGACTCAAGCACGTTGAAAATAGGAAGGTTTATATATTGTAATCCGGAGACTACTGCTACCAAATATCTTTGAATTCAATTTTTTTTATCCATTCCGTCCACTACAATATCACTGTTCGTACATTACAAGAAAGGAACTTCTATTCGCTGTTCCCTTCCTGATACTACCAAGTGGAAAAATTAAGGGAAAAGAAGAACAGTCGAAATAAAAATCGTCCTTCGACATAGTAAATCTGAAAGTACATTTTCGACAAGAAATGTTTCAGCAGTTGATATCAAGATTGATTATATGAAGGAAGAAAGTAATTAATTCACATCAAATGCAGGTGTCACTGACCACGATCGAGAAGACAAGAAGCGTGTATGGGATGATGAGAAGGAAAGGAGGAAGATGAAGAGCAAAAGAAATTATCTTCGTGATAAGTAAAGAAAGAATTGCATACTCAAAAAAGCCTCTTCCTTTTCTCCCAACATGTTTTTAACAGTGAGTTTGTGACAAAATACGTAAATGTGTAAGATTTGATAAACTTTTACTGTGCTATCACAAATCCAAACGAGAAAATAACAGTTTAGAAAAGAAAAAGATCAATTAGAGCAATTTCTTCAGCCTCTGACTCTACGGCTTCAAGCTAAAAATCAGTAATAATTTTGTTATAAGTCTAACTTAGCTTAATGAAAAACGTTGATGACTGAACAGTCACACTGGACTGGAAATGTTACTCTCTGACATCCAATATCTGTGCTATCAATTCTAATACATGATGACTATCGCTCATCAGCATAAAGAATTTAGCTAGATAATCCTTTTAATTTCTATGAAAAGCAAGAAAAATCCATCTATCATTTTTGCAACAGGAAAAAATGATAAAAGTGGAAATCAGATAAACAGAATACTGAAACAAAGAAATGGTCAAACTGAGAGATTGGAAATCAGTGACAACAATGCAAAAGCAATCATTAACTTTATTAATAAGATATAAAAACTGAGACAAGCATTCTTAAAATTGTTTCCTCTATCGTAGAAAGCGTTTTTAGTACTTCTTCATATTTTAGAAAGATTTGTATTCATTGTTGTTTTTATATTGACTTCACTCATAATCATTTAAATTTTGGAGTCATTTTTGCCCGAAAATAAATTAGTTTGGTTAAATTTATTTTATGAACTAAATTAATCTTAAATAATTGAGAACATAAGTTAAAGAAAGAAGCCACTTCTTGCAGAATTATTTTTTAATAATTTCATCGATATTCTTCAACTGAAGTGAATAGAGAATTCTAGTGGAGTAAATACGTTTTTGTAAAATGTCGAATTCTTGAAAAATAAATGAATAAAGTGTAAATTTAACAAAGAAAAATTCTCTTTTCAAAAATGAGAAGTGTACTTTTTGTTTTGAATGATTCTGATGATTTGATATTAAAAGAAAGGGATTAAAAGAAAGGAAGTCTTCAAAATGGATTAGATACACTAAGGTGGAAGAAAGGTAGATCGATTTTTTATTATGAAAATTAAGCAAAACGGTAACAAAAAAAGCTGCACATGAGTATCATTGTGTTCCACAACTTTCTTCATTAACCTTATATTTTATTGCTAATCCAAAAATGAATCTATCGCCAGAATCTGAAGAGGTAGTAGAATCAGTCTGCAGCATTGTTAGACGAGATCAAAATATCTTTTAGATACTTATTAATGCAATTAATTTATTGAATAAAATACCTAAAGTAAGCAGTTGGTCATCCTTCTTTGCAAATTTCATATATTAAGTGAAAAAGAAAAATTAACGAAGGAAAAAGAAGTTGTAGAAATGATAGTGATAAAGAATGGATTTATCCTGTTCTATCTTCCTTAAGATGAAATATTAAACTACCTAGATATGATGATCATTAAAACTAGGAATTAAAAACAATGGAGAGGAAAAAATGAAAAACAATAAAAGGGACGAAAATAATAGATGGAAAAAGTTAGCTTTTATCACCACTTGTCAAGAGATACAGAATCAGCAACACGTAGTGAGAGCTGGTTATTGCTGTTATATGGTAATTAAAAATCGAGTTTAATTTTTTATCTGAGTTCTTTTTTTCATTTTTAATCTTCTGCAAAAACTATTCATTTTGTTCATAAAGGCTAATGTCGAAACAACTCACACTTGAAACTCTAAATTATAGTTTGCTAAGAGGATCAGATAAATAATTTGATTTTTCTTGTTAGAATGAATTACATCAGCATCTCCTTAAAAAGAAGAAAAACCTGATTTCTGAGATGTTGCAACAAGATCGGACTGCTTAATTCGAAAGTATTGGCACCATCATCGAACTGGAACATCTTTGTGGCCGGTGCAATGAGAGCTGCCAAAGCTGCTGTCTGAATTCGGGCTGCATCCAAATCTGCTTCTATTTGTTCTAGTGCTCTAAATGCCTGCAAACTTATCTTCATTAATATGATCATCTAAGATGTTAAAATTGTGTAGACTAACTGACCGTTGAAAAGCATTTCCCAGTTTAATTGATTACTAGAGAACTCTGATTGTACACTTAATAAAAGTAATTTTGTATAAGAAATACTTTTGATAGAAATGAAACAAAGAGTGATTTCAGATCAGAAAGCACAGTGAACATAAAGCACATATAAAAACCGCGATTGGAAAGGAAAGGAAATAATTTGGAAATCAAAATCTTAGAAGCGTTCAAATATACCTTAAAGGTCATTCTAACTCAGTTCAGACAAGATATCAACCACTTCCAAACGCCTTCAGCAAATTTCTGATCATCTTTGCTTATCATATGAAATACTGCTTAAAGTCTTTACTTTACGCAATAGAATACTTGTTAAAAGCAAACACGTAATACAGTTATATTCAATACAAGTTCAAAGTTACTGGGAACATATAAGTGAACGACAGGTGTTTTAAGCTCAGCTAGTTAATTGTCAACTCAGAATAAACGACCCTAAATAATTTCAGCAGTTTGAAAAGTAACAGCAGCCTTATTTCTATTTCTTAACTCTTATCAAATCAATTTACTATAAACTGCTTTATTCAATAGTTTTTAATTTAATGTCATTTTCTGCTCATAAATTCACTCATTTTTGTTTCTGCAACAAACTATTCATTCTTCATTTATTGATCTTGCAAAGCAATAAAACAAGGCTTACACACTCACTTGGTTCTAATACCAATCAGTTCAGATATTTTTCATATCAGTCCTTGACATCCACTCAAATCTTTGCTTTTCCCTCCCTTTACCAGTAATAAATCAAAATTCATTTCCCCCATAATTTTCATTATTTTTAGGATAAGAATGAATACGTCAATAAAAAAGGAAATGCATGGTTAGATCCGTGTTATCGTATTGACAAGCAAGAAGATACTGATACCCTTCACTCTCCTTATCAGTGAATTGTGATCTTATCTTAATCATTGCTGCTTTATCCCTTCCATATATGTTAGATTTTGTGCAATAAAGTATGAGATACATCTAAATTATGAGAAAGTTCATTAATTTCTAAAGAGTTCCTGTAATATATTGATAAAATATGCACATATTTGTTCAAAATATATGTGCATGTAACTGGAAAAGAAGCTGCATCCTTTCTCTTTTCTTTTTGAAGTATTTGAAGGTATAAGTGGTTAACAGGTATGCCCAGCAAGATTACAATTTAACAATCCTTGAAAAGTACAGTGGTGATTAATTACTGAAGTAAAATTACTGTGTAACAAACCGAAGTGATTGATTGGTATTGAGAATTTGTGCAGCGTAGAAAACAATAAGATAAAGTGAATGGAAATTATGTGGAATTGTTGTTTAAAAAATGAATCCAGCATGATCTTTAGCAATATGTTTTGTTTATCTTGAAGAAATTAAATGAGTTTAAATACTAAAACTTCTACATTTTCTGGAAAAAGTTCCAAGTCTTTAAAGCTTCTCCTACAATTTATCCTAAAATAAATTTATATATGCCTACATTTTTCCAATATATATCATAATAAAATTACTGACACAATAGAAAAATTGACAGCCTTATTTAAATAGCCGAATATCAAAGATTTTGAAAGAATAGTATTGATTTTGGATTAGGAAAAATAATGATTTCCCGTCTATGAGTTTCTGGAAAAAGTTTTAGTTTTTTGACCTTCTTGAATTACCTTGTTCAAGTGAGCGCGACAGTACGTAAGAAAGTAAAAGTTGGTGCTTTCTCATATACTGTTAAATCAAAATTTTGAAATTTGGTAATTAGAGAAGTTTGCTCCTTGAGTGTATTTCAAGTTAATTGTTTCTATTTCTAGCTTCTCCATTTTTCAGACGACGTGATAGGCTTTCTTCTATTATTATTAAAGCAAATTAACAATTTTGGATAGCACAGCTAAGTAATTTTGTTGTAAGCACTCAAAAAACAGGCTCACGATATATTTTCCCAGAAGTTTGGCGGCTTTCACTGACTCTTCTGCTTTTTTTCATCGATGCTCCGAAAGACTGGGACTGAAAGGTTGGTTGCAACATATGAATTCAGAGAGGCAATTGTTATTAAGCAGTTTTTAGTTTTCCAGTCAAAAATTATTATGAAGCTAGTAGCACAAAGCAGAAAGATATTGGGGTGAAGATTGAAACAGTAACACTTAAAGATGTTGGTGATATTGAATTTGTACCACTCGATATTTGAAAACGTTGATAGTCGTTATCGAATATATTGAGGGTGATTTGGGATTAAGAACCGAACATTCCCGATAGATACAGCGCGTTATTATTTTCTGTCCAGTACGGTATAGTTCTCGATGGTAGCGCTACATTTATAGCTAATAGAACTGGTTGAAAAACAAATTTCTATCACAAGAAATAATATGAAGTCTAAAAGATTTGAGAAAAAGTTTACCTCAAGAACAGCTTCAGGTGTAATACCCGTTAAGCGCAGTCGTCTGATTAGTTCTAGCTGCTCCACCGTAAACAGATTCATCTCGTCCTACCAGTTCTAGAAAGCACGTTTTAAAAAAAGAAATATTTTGATGATAGCCGTAGAAGACGCAACTGTTTACCACAAACCGTAATCGTATTGACTAAATTTACATAAAAATAATATTACATGTATTAAGTTGGTAAGAAATACCTAAAAATTGGCATTTCCAGATAAGGTGACCAGATGAATTTAAGCCAAAAGTTGAGTGTTTGATGAACACTCTTATTTTTCAACGAAATTTGTATGGCCTCTACCTCGGTTATTTGAGTAATTGAAGAAAGAAAGAGTGGGACAGTAGTCCAATTGCTTTTGTTAAGTGGAGAAGGGGCGGAGAGGTCGTTTGGACTATCATTTCTGCTACTCATCTCTAACTGCATTATAATAAATGCAGTCAGTATCACATCACAAAACATGAAGTGACCTTTGATTTTCTAAAAAAAAAAAAAAAAGGCTTGTCTAAAAAGGCTTATCAGTATTACTGAAACTTCTGGTTATTTCAAGATTTTATAAAGAATGTTGAGTGAAATGCAATATTCAAAATATCGGATTTTCAGTAATCGAAGTCAAAACTGCAGCGCTCTTAACTGAGAATGAGGATGAATCCCAAATATAGTTTTGAAAATTAATAAGTTATTCTTTTGCATTTTACATGAAGACGTATAACATAATGGTTTAAGAGAATGTGGAGAGAAATTTTCAAGGATTTTTTTACCGACTAAAACTGTGAAGATAATCTGGAAAGGGAAAGAAATAGATGGTATATAGAAGAAGGTAAAATTTTTGAATTTTACAACTTATAAGTTTTCTATATAAAAAATTTATAAGTTTCCTATACATATAAAATCTACGCAATTCCGGACCATCTCTGCAGGTGTAATACCAAAGGGAAATGAATTTTATAAGCGATAAAAATGCATATTTTAATATCCATTATTTAGAAGAATGAAAGAACAATCGGTGAAAGGACGTTTGTACTTCTCCAAGCAGTGAATTAAACTGAAAAAGAGGAAGAAGCAAAAGAGATAGAAAAGAATTTCTTTTTCATTCGAGAACTTTTTTATGGAAAAAGACATGTTAACTCACATATGGTAGATAGATCAGTTATTTCAAATGATAGGTAAGAGAGAATGTTATGTTGCAGATACATCGTGTGGCTAACCTAACCATTAAGAAAATTAGTTATTGAAAAGCAAAAAATGTTAACTGACTAATAAGCTATTGCATATATTTCCCAACAGTAAGCACCAATTTCGTTCCAGTAGTAAGGAATGGAAACCTCAGCGATCTATCGAGTACTTTTTGTCAGTGTACAAATAATCATCCTTCGGTTAAATAACATCGCAATCAGTAGTTTATTTTGTTTATTTTCATACTTGTTTGTACTTCTTTTCCTGTAACTCTCACAAGAGGTTTTACGGAAATGAATCTGTGAATGTCTGAGAAGTGGATTAGTGATCAATTTACCAATGGGTGGTTGTTGGTAATTGTTGATATAAACACCAAAGTTTAGCTGCATGATCTAATTTAAAAATCTCCCTCCAGGAAAAGGAGAAATGAAAAAGGACATCGCAGTGTTTGAGAATTTTAATTTTAGTAGAGCAGTTTTTGCAAAATGGAAAGTACGAAAAACAAAGAAATGAATGTTCAGCTATAATCTTAAATATATCAATATCATGACATAAGTCATCTTCTGCAGATTTTATTTTCCACTAATTCGAATTTGGATTTTAAACAGGACACTGATAGATTCCTTCCTTTCTCCCTCTCTCTCCATCTCTGTCTCTCTAGGAAGGTGTGCCTATTTAGTTCGTAATCACAACCGCTGTGTAAACTGGTACTTTAATTGGATATATCTGGTAGATTCATCAAAACGACTAATTTATTATTAATATTTTCTATGCAATAATAATACATATTTGCAAGTAAAAGCAACCAGAAATAGATGAAAAAATGAAGTCCATTTTTATATAATCGCGCAATTGTGATAACCTTAAGTTATAATATATTTGTTCAACACACACACACACACACTACATACGTACGTATGTAAATGCACATCTAAATTTAAAAGATCCTGTTGAACGCATTTCTTTGAAAAGCGCTAATTTGTGACTTACTTCACACAGGACACCTATTCCATAAAAAAGTCAACAGAATTAATGATCTGAACGATTTCCAAACAGAGCCACTGGCAACAGTAAGGCGACACAGCCATGCACTTTTCGCATACCGATTGAGAGCGCTGTTGTGACACGACATGCTATGCTATCGGCATATGCATGTATACACATATACATCAAATTAAATAGATTTCTCGAAAAACGGCGGTGACACCATAAATGTTACTTGGCAGTTTCAGCCTTTTTTATGTGATAAAATTAAAAGAGATAGATGACACTCAGGTAATTTTGGGAGGGGCAGAAAAGATAGAAAGATGTTTAGTTTCTCTCTGCCTTCAATTTAGCAATGAAGTGACAGAATAATGCCCACTGACACTCTAAACTCAGCAAATAAATAGATCGTTTAACAACTCCATCTTCAGAATGTACTTGCATATTACTAATTATATTTCTGAGACTTTCGAAAAGTACAATTTGTGCTAATTACTCTAAAATGTTTAATTACTTGTTTCAGTTAACTGTCTGACATATAACCATTTACCTGACACTCACTGAAATTCATATTAATAGAATTATCATTCCTGAAATTATCCTTGTGCACTTGCTCACTGCATTTTCTATCTATACTTAATTTAATTTAATTTACCTACATACAAATGTAACTTAAGTAACAACAAAAACTGATCTATGGTTTTGATATAATTATTCCTATATTTCCTCTTTCAACCTGATTAATTTTTAAGAGTGAGTAAAACGGACACAGCATTTGGCAAATTTATTCCAACAAGAACGCGCATGAAAGAATGATTTGTTGCTTACGAGTGCCAAAATCGGTCTGAAATCATAAGGAAAAAACAGAAATAGATGAATTGTTACGTGAAGAATGCTGAAATAAAAATATAATAACAAAAGCGCAATCGGCGCAGAGCTGAAACTCAGTTCTCGTTGCACATGAAAGGACTCAACAAATGTTGGTGGGAAAGGATAAAAGACCGCTTTTTCATCCATTCCTGTGTGTCCTACGGTGAGTGATTGAAGGGGTACGGTGAATTCAGGCAAATATATAACTGCAAGTTTTGGTAAACTACCATACCCGTTCGCATGATGTAAATTGCATTTCAAAATTAAATAATATCTTTGTTTTAATCTGAGCAGACGAGTCGTTTTTAATAAATTTCAATTCACTTGCTCTCACAGTTTATCTGATTTCTAGAGCTCTAGTTGCTTAATACCCAGAATCAAATATAGGATTTCTAATAACATTATTCAAATACAATAAAATTTATCTTGGGATGAGGGTTTTCTTTGGATCTGATTTGAGTTATGGAAAACAATTAGGAAGGAAAATTTCTTTTCCATTGCTCTGACAAAATTGAAGCTAGATGTTAATAAGCTGACAAATAACCATCTCGTAAGGACACCACTATCGAAATGATCATTTTAAAATCATATCTTCTTCTATTAATCAAATGTATCAGCAAGAAAAATTTGACAATCTGTACTAAATGATGAAATTAAATGATCGAAAGATTATTACATGGATTTGTTCTGCAAATTCTGAATCACAAATTAAGATACCGGAAGTAACTGGAGCAGAACAAAGTTTCAGCACTCGAAGAATTAATTCAGAGTATATTGCAAAGAGCCTCCCTCAACTTTTAAAAGGCGTATTTCGCTTAAGAATATGGTTTATTTATTGTGTCACACTATTTCCCCTTGAAGCGTTAAATGTTCTCAGTAGATTGATATTCTAATCTATCTAGTGAATAGTAAGATTGCTGCGATACTGTAGTGATTTAATAGATATTTATTTGCTGAATCAATTTTTCTATTTGATAAATATTTGAATTTTGGTAGGCATGGTAGCATAAATCAAAGGGATATGAGAAATCAAAGCAGATGTCATAAACAATTCTTATTTTGCGAAAAAATTCATTTACAGTAATTTATTTTCACAAAATCTGCTTCATTTCAATTATGAAACTAAATCTTACGACTCAACAAACTACGTTCTTTCAATTATTAATTGCTTTTCTTTTGGTTTACCACAAGTGACTCAGCTTCTAAATACAATTAAGACCAATACTTTTTGCGATAAATCTAAAAACCAAATTGATTGTCTCCAGAGATTTTTGTTCTTGACCTCTTCTTATTTTTCGGTATCTGAATTTTTTTTTTAAAAAAAGAAACGAAATTCCCACTCCTAGGCTTGAACCTTTATCAATACTTCCATTATATTTTGCTAGATGTCCCATTACAATAAGCACCAACAGTAGTTGCTGTTTTCTTGATAGTTGCAAAAGATAATTTATAGAAGCGGGGATAGTCAGAAATTCAACAAAATTATTATTTATCAATTTCTATTTTTTAAAGGTAGCAGAAAAAAAATTGTAAATAGCAGTGCTGCCATATCTATATCTATATGTATATATAGATATAGATATGTTAGAAGAGGACTGAAAAACATCAATTGATCAAAATTATATTTATACTCAAAAACAGAAGTTGCAACAACAACGCCTCATTTGAAATGAACTTCATTTTCAGTTTTTTTGCTTCATGCATCTATGCGTAATCTTAACTCAATTCTAACTATATATAGACAGAAGATGCTGAAGAAAAACTGGCCAATGTTGTCTTGGCTAAGACCAGGCATATAAATAAAATACGACCTTACCAAATGAACGGCGCAACTGCATCGATTTTATTTATATGTAATCGTACTCTGTGCACCTTTCTTCTCCTTCTCACCTCTCTCCCTTGCAACACAGTTCTTCCCTCTCCATGTTTATATATGAAGTATGTATATTTATTTATATATATATAAATAAAGCCTTTCTGTGTGGGATGAAGTGAAGGGAAGAGAAGAGTATGTGGGAT